TGAAGAACCGAAGGAAAGATCCGCACACGGACGATCCCAAGCCCTGGGAATCCCTTCCGCAGCTCCTGGAGGCGCCCAATGTGAGAATGGGGGAGAAGTCCCCGAAAATGCCTTCAAATACGAGCTTGGGGAGACAGATTAGGGTTCATGCGCCCGGCGCATAAGTCTTCGCGCCCGGCGCATGGCCTTCCAAATGCCCTCTGTCTTCAGGACACGCCCGGCGCAATTCATATTGCGCCCGGCGCAATAGCTTCCAGAGGTGAGATGCTCTGTTTTGCTCGCCCGGCGCGGATCACCTTGCGCCCGGCGCATAACCTCTTCTCTGCTCCTTAGCTCCTTTTAGTTTCCAATCCTATGGATCTTCAATCCTCAAGTCCCTAGCTCAATACCTGCACAAAAAATGAGGTGTATTAAGGTATTGTTAGCTAAATTTGGGTTAGTTATATCTGCACACAAAATGAACCAAAAAGAGAACAATTATATTGCAATGGTTCAAAGGATGAGTGGAATTTGTTCAATAAGTCTCATCCAAAAAGAGGTAAAATTGAGACTTAACAGTCATCATCTTACATTCATGAGTATGTAGAAAGTTCATAGTTTCCTTATATATTATATTTGCTTTGTCACTAGGTATCAAGGAAGGTCTTGGTTGGATTGTCAAGGAGGGTTCCTCTAATCTAAAAAACTTGTTGCACTATAAATATTAATTTATTATTGGAAAAATCTAACTTGAGGACTAAATGTAGATCTCATTTTAACCAAACCAATATAAACTTATTATGCATTCTCTTCTAATTGTAGTTCTTGCAATTGTTTAAGCTTTTTTTTTTTTAATTTAATTTAAATAACTTATTACCAACAAATATATTTGTAAAAAATTTAGCATGATAATGGATTATCCTTTTATTTTCGATAGATATATGACTATTATTTCTAATAGAAAGTTCATCAATAATTTTTTATAAAAAGATTTGTTGATAATTACTAATAGATATTTCTTTCGAAAACATTTGTTGAAAATTTATGACAAATTAAAATATTACTAATAAAATATTTTTTCCAACAACCATATTTCTAAACAAGTTATTGTCTATCAAAAATTCTATTTTTAACCAATTGTAACCGTCGTTTAACGTTTTATTTTGGTAGTGTGATCCTAATTCTGATAATTTTATCCAAATTAATAAAAAACTCTCACTCCATCTCCTATTCAAAATTATATTCTTACGATAAAAAAGTATTTAAAGAGTGCGAAAATGATTTTAATCTCAGTTCACTCTCTCTTGAATCTATTTAAATTTATCCATATGTAACATTGGATTTGATATTTGAACCACAAAATATTTTGAATTTTATGATAATTACCGATATTTGAATTTATTATTCAAATACGTAGTTTCATAAATAATTGAAGACTGTGAGTGTGATTGTTAGATAATGAAACATATGTTGACTAATGTATTCACAAATATAACTGATTTATGAGATAATGAAGTAATGTATATAATTTTGATAACAACATAAATTTTAATTTTTATAAATTATGATCTATTATTATTAGAGTTAATCACTTATACACTGTTAATGTAAAAGTTTTTTTATAATAGCAATTAATTACATCTTTTAATTGTGTCATGTCACTGTAAATACATTTATTTTTAACTGAGACATGACACAATTAAAAGATATAATTGGTTACTAATATAAAAAGACTTTACATTAACAATGTATAAATGATTAACTCTTATTATTATTTTTCTATTTCTTTCGTGCCTACTCTTTGTTTTAGTTGGTTTAAAGAAGAATGAATTGGAAAAGAGAAAGAAAATGAAAATAAATTTCTTTGATAGTTTGGGATGGGAGGGGGAAAGA